TGAATTTTAATAATTTTTTCGGATTTTTTTGAAGCTTTATTCTGACCGATTCACCCGATTCCGATCCGGATTGCCGATTCGCCGATCCGGATCGGTTTTTGAAAAGCCCGATCCGGGTCACCGATCCGGTTTTTAAACCATTGGTGTAGCCGAATGGGCAGCTGATTGCAAGGAGATATAGGGATGGTATGTAATAGCAGGAAGATCAACAGGTGCATGGGTTGTTGCGTTCGAGGAGGGGTTGTTGAAGTTTAATTTTGATGGGAGCTTATTGGGAAATCGAGATGAGAGGTAGAGGGATCATAAGGGATAGTAATAGAGTGATTTTAAAGAAATATTATCGGCCTGCAGGTAATGTAGTAGAGTTCTCTTCAATATTGCAAGGTTTGAAACTAATAAAGGATATGGGGGATAGATTTGTTGTTTAAGATCATTCTTTAATTGTGGTTAATTGGTGTACAGTTTCGAGCTTGTCTTTAGAGAGAATAATAGCATAGTGGATGGGTTGGCTAGGCATGAATAGATTTTACTTGTGGAGTGAGCAGTTTTTTTTGGGGCAAGCTTTCTATGCTTCTCCTACAACATAAAACTTATATTCTTCCCCTTATCTAACCGTTCATTTTGAATGGAGAGCTAAGATTGCCTCTAATCACAATGTCACATCTCTACACTATTTTATTTTTAATTTTTTTTATAAATTAATTGCACCAAAGTTTGGACGTCCAATCCTCTATTAAACTCGCACTATAAAAATATATATAAAAACAATATTTCCAATAAAATAAAATGACCAAAATACCCCTGAAAGCTTCAAGGGGTATTTTGGTCATTATATTTTATTTTTAATATTTCTTATAGGTATGCCCCAATGAGAAGATGACACGTACCAAATTTTATATTCATAAAATTGTGTAAAAAAATTAAAAAAAAAATATGTTAAGCTATCGGAACTAATATCAAACGGTGAATGGCTCTCTTGATCAAAATTGAACTGCTGGATGGTAGGGAAAACATAAATCTTAGAGAAATATAGAAACTTTTTTTTTTTTTGGGTGAGTAAGTTTTTTGCATTAAACTTTTTTCTTTTGTTTATGATTGTTGTATGGACATTGCTCATTGTATTATTGTACTTGATGTTTTGATTGGGATTCTTGTAAAAAAAAAAAAGAAGTTATTGTCCAAAAAAAAGATTCACGACAATGAGCAACGCTAGTGTCTTTAAAATAACAATTACTGCATCCTAATGGGCCTTGCCTCTAGCCCTGAACATCTGGGATCACATGAAATTATTCGAAGTTAAAGGTGTTAAATGGGTTGGGTCGACCCAACCTGGTCTAGTTGAAGACCACAATTGCAGCCAACATGTTGGTGTCATGTCCATTTGACTTGGACCCGACCTAGGTCAGGTTTAACCTGCGTGGCCATGACATAAGATCATACCCCATTCTTTTATCTAAACTTAGTATTTTCTTAATTTGTGTGGTTAGGAGGTCTCATTCAACCTGAACATACAACTAACACCTCTATAGATCTCCATTAAAAATGTCTCTCCCATCTAATTAGCAACTTATTACTGCACGCCCTTTGTGAACCAAAAACTTGATGGTACCTAAAATAGCATCATTGCTGTTTCTGCATATTTTTCTCCTCATGACCCTCTCCCCCTATTCAGAACCAGGATGTATATAAATGCCACTTTCTCATCCTCCCTCTCATTCCATCCTCGGCCTCTTCTTCCCCTCCCATTTGCACAACTAAACAATCTACAACCAACAATGGCTTTGAGGAATGGTCAAATGGTGGTGGCGGTGGTGGCAGTTGTGGTCCTTTTGCTTGGTTTGGTTGCTCGAACGGAAGCGAGGCTTGGGCTATTGGTGCCTCCTGCTCCTGAGGCCAACCATCATGCGTTCCACCCCTTGCCTGTGAAGCCGGGGGGCTCGAACAAAATACATGATCTCGGACAAGGGGAAAGCGCCTTCAAGCCCTTGCCTGTGAAGCCTGGTAAACCACATAAAGTGCTTGGCAAAGTGAATTTCAAGCCCTTGCCAGTTAAGCCAGGTCACTTGAGGAGAGGCCGCGTCGATACCTTCCGCCCCTTGCCGGTGTTGCCAGGTCGCCACCACTGAACTTGTTCCCCAAACTCTCTGAGAAATATGTGATTGAGATCAGAGAAGTCTAAATAAATGTTTATTTTTAACAAAAAAATTGCAAAACATAAATTGTTTTTTTTCCATTTTTTTTCCTCTCTGGTGTGCCTTTTGGGTAACCGGCATGGATATTGCTTCAGCTAATAAATAAAAATAAATGCGGAATTACAGAATATCCATTTTGTTATTGCTGTCATCCTTGTTCTTTGTTTTGCTCAATCGACTTCTGAATTTCCTATATTAGAATGAATCTATTGAAATCAAAGAAAGAAAAGAGTAAAATAGAAATGGGTTGAGGCTGTGTTTTATTCCATATCTTCATCCTGAGAACTAATGCAATGGCCATTATGCATGAACTTGCAAGCAATGTGAGAAGACACAAAAGAACTGCAAGACAACATTTCTGCCATGGCGTTCGGTCGATGGACGCCGATTTCCCCCTGATCTGAAAACCAGATTGAACCTACAGTTTGCTTTTGCTTTCTTTTTTTTTTTGGGGCCATAGATGTTATTTAGATTGGATGGTGAGTGGGAACTAATGGTTTTGATGTGCAAGGTGCAACCATAGCCTTTTTCTCTTGGCAGAGTATAACTATTGTCCCCAATCTTAAATCAATAATAATCAAGCAAAAAATGGTAGGTCTGAAAGTGGGCTAGATCTGGGCCAAGAAAAGGTCCACCAAGCCCAACCCATTGGCTAAAGAGCTTCAACCCAGACCCGAACCCAGGCCCATTATGGCCAAAACCACTTTATCTCGTAACCTGGATTGTATCCTTAAACCCAGCCCGAACCTATCCTGATTGACCAGTTATTTTGGGCATGCTTTGTTTTTTTGGGTAATTCAGTGGCGAAGACAGGCTCAGGCCCCTACTTATTTTTTCAATAGATTAAGGAGTTACATTTCGAAGGTATTAATTGGGGTTGTCAACGGCAAAAATGGATACTATGATGTGGTAACTGGGGGTGGGGATGCTACCACCATGACCCCAAGCCGTTTCCTAATTTGGGCATGCTTTGTAGGGGTGGCAATGGACCCAACCAGACCCGGGACTCGATCGGTAGACTTCACCTTGGGTCCGATATGGGTCCAAATTTTGGATCCAAAAGGTTGGGTCCAGGTCCAAAGCCTAGACCTGAATACTTCCGAGTGCAGTTGGACCCAACCCAAATAATATGAGTATATGTGGGTACTCATAAATATTGCCAATGCGTTTGTTTCTTAAGAATTTCCAATTAATTATGTAAAATAATAAAAAATGTGGGTATATATGGGTATTCTTTAATGTTGTGCAATACTGTAAATATTGCCAATAATATGCCAATCATATGGGTATATGATGGTAAAACAAATGGCCAACAAAAAGAGAATAAAGAAGCTCACAAGCATAGTGTGATAATAGATCCAACTAGACCCGATCTGTAGACCCTACCTCAAGTCCAGGTATAGATCCTGGTCCCGGTCCGGGACCCAACCCGTTGACACCCCTAATGCTTTGGCTAAGCTATGGCTCAATACTTGCTCGTATTGACAGTCCACATTTTCTTTTTAGATTGCTTAAGAGCTTAGCGTGCCATTGCCTAGTAGGAGCTACCCAACCAGTGCGCAGCTTCAAAAATAAGATGCAAAAGAAAAACTATCTCTATAATTACCTTCCGTTACCTTGTCAGTTTTTTCGAATTGAGATAGGATCAAATTTGACACCCTTAATATTTGATCAGATACTCTTTTGGCGCCACAAATATGGTTTCCAAAAGCTGATCTCTTCCTAAATTTTTTTTTAAATATATTATGTTCAGATTCCCCTTTTTCACATTAAAATCAAGGGATTATGTGTCGTTTACTTTTTTTATATAAAGTCATGATCACCCATACTTATCACATGTGAAATCCAATAGCTTAGACGTGCCACTAATTTCGAAAAATTTCCTTTTGGATAGGCAATGCAATCAATAGCAAATTTCATTTTCGAAACTAATAATCTCATTAATTTTTTATGGGGTGTAGTTTGTATAGAGCCAAGGCTCTAAACAATTAAAGTAAAATGAATCTTCAAATAGTATCGAGAAATATAGTTTCAATACTGGAAATCTTTGTGATAGCCTTAAAATATACTTTCATCTTTGATTATAAATTTAAAGCTTAAAAAATAGTGTAGATCGAGAAGATCTATGAAAACTTGAAAATCTTTAAAATTGATGCTCCAAAAATGAGTTACAAGATGTATTATTTCCAAATTTTGAAATCTATTTTTTTCGCATGTTCATGCATCTTGATGTCGAGATAATCAATTTGAAGATATTTGGGCATTAAAACAACCTCTTCTAGTGAAATTTTTTAGTTGGGCTCTAATTTGATGTTTAGAGCCTTGGCTCTATATAAACTTTTTTCATATTTTATTACCTCTACCAAATTAAAAACATGCATTGCTTAGGAATAGAGACATGCACCTCAATAAATTCCTCTATAATGGAGATGCCCTTTCATTGAGACATCTTCTTAATAACCGGGTCATCCTGTCTATATCATTCTTAGCAACTCCGCGATTAAACGACAATTTTTTCAAAAAAATGAGCTTTTATGAAAAATATTTAAAACAACGTTTTTTTGACAAATTCGGGAAAAAAATCACGTTTTTTTAAGAAAAAAAAAGTTATATCCTGTAATTTTTCTTTTTTGAAAGATTATTGTTTTTTTTGGAAAATTATAAAAACCCCCCCAAAATCAAGTACCCTATCAACTTAAACCCTAAGTTAACTTTTTTTACTAATTTTTTTTAAAATTCAGCTTTTCTAACAAAAAACCCCCCAACACAAAAGTAGGTATTTTTTGGACGAATTTACCCTTCCCGTACGTCAAATTTTTTTTTTCGCGTCCCATTAAACTTAAATCCGGACCGTAACAAACAAACGCCGGACAACTCCATCAAATGCCGGACTGGGGTAGCTGCAGTGACATAAAGCACCGGATTGCCCCAAAAAACTGCCGGATTAAAAAACACCTGACTGCCCTACAAAAACGCCGGACTGGACCGTATATAGTGCCAGTCTGGTCCATGATAACACCAAACTGGGGCAGTTCCAGTGATATGAATCGCCGGACTCCCCAACAAATTCGTCGAAATGTAAAATGCCGGAATGATGCAAAGAATCGCCGAACTAATGTGCCAAAAATGCCGGATTGTCTCTTATTACGCCGGAATGGGGCAGTTCCAGTGACTCTAACACCGGACTGGACAGTTCTTTCACCGGACTGACGAAACGAAATGCCGGACATGTCCACAGAATGTCGGACTGGTTTTCGAGTGAGATCAAACATCGGAGTGAACAAAGACAACGCCGGATCGAATGCTATAAACGTCGGACCGATTGTCAAAAACTCCAGACTGGAAATTCCAGTGAGCATAATCACCGGAGCCACTAGCTTAAATGCCGGACTGATGCCCTTAAACGCCGGATTGACCTTATTTATTGCCGGACTGAGTGTTTCATTGATATAGTCGTCGAACTGCCCCCATGAATTTCCGGACTGACAGAGCATATTGCCGGACTACCCCTTTGAAGTGCCGGATTGGATTTTCCAGTGAGTTCAATCACCGGATTGCCTAAGACAAACGCCGGACCGAAGGCCCAAAGTGTCGAAGTGCCCTTAGAGGATTGCCGAACCGGTCTTTCAATTGACCAGACGCCGGATTGCCCCAATAGTTGCCGGATTGAGCCAACTTTTCGTCGGACTGCCCCCATTAAGTGTCGGCTTGCTCCTAGTGATCACCGGATTGAGCCAACCTTTCACCGGACTGTTCCCATTAAGTGTCAGCCTACTGCTAGTGATCGCCGAACCGTGCCTTTAAGGTGCCGGACTGCCCCTCATTATCACCGGAGCGGCCCAATATATTACCGGACTGCCCCTGTGATTTCAATGATTGTTCAGCTGCAGGAAGATACAGCTTCCTAGGTGAAGCAGTACTCTTTTACATTGTCATTTGATGCAATTTCATTGTTATTGCTATAACTCAACAAAATTTCACAAAGGTTTCAAATTGCTTCTCTTTCAAACATCACTTTATTTTTATTAACTTTCAAAGATTCTTCTACAATAACTGAATTTTGGCTAAAGTTTTGAATACAATCTAAATAACCCATACTGGATGCTCGTTATTAGCCACTAAAGCCTGCAAAATTGGACTTTAGCTAACAGGGATATATATATATATGTAAGGGGACATTTCATTAGCTGGCTACTTGATATAGTAGCTTCAAAGTACAAAAACTATTACAATGATACATTTCATTAGCTGGCTACTTCAAAATACAAAAATATATATTAATTGAAAGATACAACTGAATCACTTTTTTCGCCTCAACCATTTTTTTGGCCAGCTTGTAATACCCGTTCTTTTTACATTTGCCTGGACATCTCCATCTCCTTGTGATCTTGTATGCCTTCTTGATTCCTCTTGTAAGGTTGGCAGAATTTGAATTTGCAGGCTTCTGCTTTTGTCATAGCTGCTTTTTGTTCTCGTTTCATCTCCCTCGTCAGTGTCACTTTCATCTCCCTCCTTAGTCTTGTTTTTCTCATCTTCCTCCTCAGACTCGTTTTCCTCATCTCTATCATCATCTCTCTCCTCGCTAACAAGTTCATCGTCTCCACTCTCTCTCTCATCGCTATCGCTTTCATCATCTCTATCATTTCTCTCTTCACGCTCGTTTCCACTATCTCCCTCCACCCTCTCCTCGGCATTTGTCTCTATAAGAGTATTTTGTAATAGCAAATCATGTGCCGCTTGTACGTATTGTCTTGATTCACCTACTAATACTTCACCCCTAAGTGCAGCTTGTAAAATCCCTATGCAGGTTAATCACTGCAAGTAGACAATGAAAAACAAAATCAGAAATTATTTTGAATGCATATTAAGTCAATAAAAAAGAAAATACATAAATTACATAATATATCAATGTCCTCTCTGACTGATGCCTTGCGAGGGGGGGTAATTGGGATTGCGGCTGCGAGGGGGGGCACTTGGGAGTATTTATATAACTTGATTGCGATTGCGAGGGGGGGTACATTGGAGTATTTTTATATCTATGGGTGAACATGTTGTACCAGCTCATATATTCATTTGTAAGCATTCCACCATATTTATCCACGTCTGCCCTGACAATGTTGCTTTCTCGTTGACATCAGTCGCTTCAATCCAACTTGTGGGATGTACGCCGACATTTTCCCTCCTATCCCACTTGGGTGGCCCAACAGGAATCGCTTGCATCATCCCAAATTGTCGCAATACACGATCAGACATATAAAACTCTACAATGTTGAAACATATCAAATATGATCGGCACAATGCATTTTCTTTACTTAATGTATCTCGTGGATTGTACTCCTCATATGGTTGCCAAGTCACCTACACAAGAGCAAAAAACAATTATAAATTATTTGTATTTGTATTTATTTACAATTACATATACACTAGCAAGTAACAAACCATGTCAATTGAGATGTCATCAAATGCTGTTAATGGGTCTTTCTTGCATGGTTGTTTATTCCATTCGGAAGCTCTAGGCATTTCTATAGTGATAGTTGTAGGCTTGCTGGCTAGAGCTGGAAAATGCTCATAGATCCAACACTGCAAAAGACATAGCTACAATGTAGAAATATAGCAATAAACAATAGCTAGAAATAACTAGAATGTAAAAATATAGCAATAAACAACACTACAAGTTACCTGTAGTAGTGTTGTTGACCAACTAAAATGTGTATTCCTGTCCACAACCTTAGATAAGGAACGATACAAGAATACAAGTGTTGTTGCACCCCATGCATACTTTCCTGCCTCATCGAGATCTCAAAACAGTTGCAGGTAAATTGTTAGTGTCATTCTTTTAGATGCATCAGCAAATATAGTTGTGCCGACTAAATACAAGATATAAGCTCTAGTGTGTTGAAGCAATTTTAATTTGGTAAGTTTTTTCGATAGTTGCTCAAATCCCTCAACCAAGTATATTTAAGTCGGTTCAACTTATCACCAATAGGGCAAACTCCTAAAAAGTCCATGATGAAAGCCATGTAGTCTTTAGGTCTTATGCCTGTTACAGGCTGGCCTGTCATAGGTATCCATAATATGTGCAACCCATCGTATAGGGTTGGAGTCATCTCACCAACAGTTAATCGTGAGGTATTAGTCACCTTGCATCATTTTCCAATGAAGGCCTTCAGTAAACTGCAATGGATATGTATGACCCCTATGTCTTTCAAGGATATCAAATTGGTTTTTTCAACCAAAACTAATTGTTATGGATCCAGCTCCCATTTTCCCTGGGTCTTAGTTGATTCATTAATACGAAAGTTGTTTTTGTTCTGAAATAGATTCAATAAAATATGTCAATATTTATTAACAATATAATAATTGTCTAATTAATTTAAATCATGAACTAAAGTAAATTGAGTATCATACCTTTTCCCTTTGATCAGAGGAAGTGGATGGGCCCCTTGTTCCACTTGACGGATCTGGGTCTTGCATCACTATTATGTATTTATAGTATTAGAGTTTACATGTGCAAAACATATGAATTGACAAAGGGAAAGTATGCTTCTTTAATAAAAAATAAACACAATTACAAAAAAGGAAATGTAAGTAAAGTATGATTCTTTAACCAAAATAAATAAAACTACAAGTAAAATAACAACAATCACATAGAAAAGAAAAGGAAATGTAAATAAAGTATGTTTATTTAACCAAAATCAACACAACTACAAGTACAATAACAATAATCAAATAGAAAAGAAAAGAAAATGTAAGTAAAGTATGCTTCTTTAACCAAAATGAACACAACTATAAGTACAATTACATCAATCAAATTAAAAAGAAAAGAAAATGTAAATAAAGTTCAAGTAGGTGCTTTACAAGTTGCCCAATTATGACTAGTTCCTTTGCACCGGCTACAGTGAATAGGTCGCACTGGTACTTCTTGTGACTCGATGCGCTTCTTTTTAGGTCAGCCAGGGGGACACCTTGAGTGAGGTGGAAGTACTCTTACTCCCTCTAGATGAAGCTGTCCACGTAAACTATGCCTAGACAAGTCCCTCAAGGTAACTGGCATGATAGCTACGGAATATGTTTCACGAAATTTTGCAACTGTGAAATATTCTTGAAAATAGTCAACAAGATCCCTATTCATTACTTGAAGAGCTTGACAAGCATGCTTGCAAGGCAAACCTGTTATTTGCCAACCTTGACATTCACATTCTCGTGTAATAATATTTACCTTGTAATTTATGCGATCACCCCTACCTTCATAAACTGCTCCACTTGTTGCCACAGTGACTCTCACGGAAAGGGATTGTTTTATGACATTTTTTAGTTCGTTTTGTGCTTTTGGGGTAAGTGTTGTAGTCCAAATTTCAACTTTCAAGCTGCGAGTGGCCATGAATTCTATGATTTGTCTTCTAATCAAATCAACGTATTGGAGAATTGGCATATCTCGTGCTTCTAGAATCCACTTGTTATATGACTCAGCCACATTAGTTGTTACTTGGTCATATCGATTACCCTTGAACTGTGATGTGGCCCAACGGTTTGGTGAGGCTTCCATGAATCACTGGAATACGTCCTCAGAAAGTGATATAATTTCCATCATCTTATCAAAATACTATTGCTGCCTATATGCTCTACATGCACTGATAAAGGTACATACAATTGCCTTCTTAACATCATTAGGTATGTGTTTTGTTTCTTTCTTGAAATTCTCCGCTAAATAATGCTCACAGAAGGCATGATGAGCATTTTCAAAGACTTGACACACAGTATCAACTAGACTAGGGTATCTATCTAATAAAAAAATAATTTCACGATCCGTCACAACAGCAACTTTTAACAATTCCATAAACCATAACCAATTATCTGTATTTTTGGCATCCACAATTGTGAATGCAATAGGAAACATTTGCCTTTCCCCATCGAGTGAGTTGGCAGCAAGTAGAGTCCCAAGGTACCATGCCTTCAATGATGTCCCATTGAGAAATATAAGTGGACGACATCAATTTTTGAAGCCATATATTGACCCATAAAAACTTAAGAACAATCAACGAAATCTATCACCTGGTCATACTTGTCCTGTCGCATAACTACCAGGATTTGTCTCTATCACACAGTTTACATATGCTGGTAATTGGTTGTATGCCTCATCTTGCGAACCATGTATGTCTTTTATGTCCGTTTTTTTTTCTTCGTCAAGCCTTCTAATATGGTAATTCTAATCCATAATCTCGAGGCAAATCAATCATGCTTTCTCTGGCCTTGTAATGTGCAGTGTCACTTAATTTATCCTTGATAAATGATACAACAAATTTTTGTAAAGCTCTTCTCTATACATCACTGCTTGTCCCAATATTGCATGAGTGATCTCTTATCGATGTTTTGATTATGAAAACATTCGTCTTGCCAAGCTTTCCAGCATATATCTCCCATTTGCATCATTCACCCTTGCATTTTGCCTTTACGCGATACCCCTCATTTTTAATAAAACGAAGTATGAAATGGTTTGCTATAACAAACTTGCTAAGGGCTTTTAGAAAGTCTTCTAAAGATTTAAACTGCTGCCCTATCCCAGAAAGTGCATTCTCCCAAGTACTAAGCACCTTTGGTGCAATGCTTTGTTCGGAGACTGAGATTAAAACATTAGAGGATTGTGGCAGTCTGACCTCTTCGACTGTCATGGTATTATGTGAAGTACTTCCATCCTTACGTTCACTTCCATCAAATACATAGACAAGCACTTCATTCTCACCTTTATAGACGTTCAACATCCTAATAATATCGTCATCATTGTATAGGTTCACAATAAATCTTTTATTTCTCAAGACAAAGTATCTTAAAGATATTAAGTGGATGTCAAGTGAAAATCGCTCTGCTATGTATTTTCGTATGTCATCTAACCTAGTACTACTGTCAATCATAAATGTACATGCATAACCACCAATATAATCCAAAATCCCATCGACACTTATTCGGAGTTCTCCGCCATAAATACAATAACCCAATCTGTTATCACCCATTTTCTTTTGCCTTGCACAATATTTGTAAAAATTTACACTCTATACATTGCATTACAACATCTTAAAAATAACCTTAAAACTTACAGAAGTTTAGCAAGCTATTAGATTTTTTTTCAAAGAGCTACAATTAAATTTTAACAGGAGGTATGCATATTGTTGGGGGTATATAACCTACAAAATAACAAGAGCTACACATAATTTTATTTTTTAATAAACTAAAGTTAACAAGAATAATATGATAGATTATTCATATCATAATTGACAACAAAAGGAACACAATTCCAGTCAGTAGAGAATAAATAATCTCTCTGATTTTATCTTTTTTTCATTGTTTTTTTGTAAAAATGACAACTCTATAATCCTAACCTTCTCTGTAACGAGCTAGTCAATATTTTGTACCACTAACTTCACAATGAGTCCCATCTTTGCTAAGATGGCACATTCAAGCCCTAAAGATACCACATTCAATTTTTTATACAAAAGTAAACAGTTTCAAACAAAAATTTACATCAATAACATTCAAGCCTAAATATAGTACATTCAATTTTTTATACAAAAGTAAACAGTTTCAAACAAAAATTTACATCAATAATATTCAAGCCCTAAATATACCACATTCAATTTTTTATACAAAAGTAAACAATTTCAAACAAAAATTTACATCAATAACATTTAAGCCCTAAATATAACACATTCAATTTTTAATACAAAAAAAAAAAAAACACTTTCAAACAAAAATTTACATCTATCAATAACATTCAAACCCTAGCCCTAAATTAATTTTTTATACAAAAGAAAACATTTTCAAACAAAAATTTACAACTACAAATAACATTCAAGCCCTAAATATACCACATTTAATTTTTTATACAAAAAAAACAGTTTCAAACGAAAATTTACAACTACCAAAAACATTCAAGCCCTACATATACAACATTCAATTTTTTATATAAAAAAAAACAGTTTCAAACAAAAATTTACAACTATAAAAAACATTCAAGCCCTAAATATACCACATTCAATTTTTTATACAAAAGAAAACAGATTCAAACAAAATCTATAACTATAAAAAACATTCAAGCCCTAAATGTACCACATTCAATTTTTTATACAAAAGAAAACAGTTTCAAGCCCTAAAATCGAGCTCCACATTCAATTTTTTATTTCTCAGATTTTATACCTATGGGTTGATTTAGGGCTAAAATCGAGCTCCACAAATTCGCCTGGTTTGAGGGAGCCTGTTTGAGGGTAAATCTTGAAGACAGAGAGAGCACTACGGGGAAAAAATGAGCAACACAGTGAAAATAGAGAGCCGGTGGAAGATGGTGCATGCTTGGAAGGAGGCAGCGAAGAAAGCTCTTCGGTGAAAACGGTGCTTGGTCATCGGTGGAGAGAGAGAGTGAAAGCAGAAAATGCGGTGAAGAGAAATTTTCCCTTCTTTTATAATTTTCCCTTCTTTTTTTTCGTGTTTGTGTATTTCTATTTTCATGCTTTCTAAAAAAACGTATAGTTAAGAAGAGAAATTACAGATTATAGATGAAAACAAATCACCTCTTCCTTTTCTCTCTCTAAAATCAGCTCCACCTTCTCTTCTTGCCTTTCCAAATCTTGCCCGATCTCAAAAAAGGAGTACCCAAATATCTACAAACAGAGCATGGTTAGGGTTTCTTTCTCTCTCTAAAATTAGTTCCACCATCTCTTCTTGCCTTTCCAAATCTTGCTCGAGCCTTAAAAATGAGTACCCAAATCTCTGCCAACAATGCATGCATAGTTAGAGTTTCTTTCTTTCTCTATAATCTGTAAAATCAGCTCCTCCACTTGAGCCGTAGGGTTTATTTCTTTCTATAAAAACAATAATACCAAATTTTGCCAAGGTTTCTTTCTCTCTAAATACAGACCAATAATGTCGCAATTGTTGCCCTACCCTGATTGAAGCTTCTTCTTCAAGATATTGTATGAGAGGACAAGACCTTTTAATATTACTCATTTAACAAAAATGAGAACAAAAATTATATGCTCTAGGGATCATAGTGCACTTCTATACTTAATTAAAAAACATTATTGGGATTATTGTTAAGCTACCGTGCTATTTTATGTTATTGGGATTATTATTAAGCTATTATGCTAGAAAACTATAATACAAATGCAACATATATTTATCCAATTTTTTTACTTTGAATTTTTTAGCCTAGTCTAATGCATTGGCGATATCTGTACAAGAAGTATTTTTGTCGATCCATATTTTTTACCTTATTTTTTCATTAGACTTTTAAAAATAAAAAAGATTTGTTTCTTATTTTAGCATGAGCCGATTTATTGATTGTTAGGATATAGATATCTCGATTCATAAAGATATACATCATTATGGATGTTAGGATATATCTCTCGATAATGTTAGATATCTAGAAGATAGAGAATTAGTTACTTAGTTATCAAGTTATCGTATTATAATTATTTTATCTAATTATGTGATTATTCTCTATTGAGGTACTTATTTATTGATATAAATATTCATTTAAAATAATAAACATATAACCGGTTGGGTATTGAATATGTAGACGTAAAGCTTCGATCTAAACCTCCAAGAATTCGGACAGAACCGCAACACAATGAATAACTCGGCCTGAACCACGACGAATTCTAAGATGGTACTTTTGAGTTCTCTCTTATTCTTTCCCCATTCTCTATTGTGTTCTCTCTCCATTCTTTATTCTTTTCTAAGATGGTATCAGGACAAGGTTCACCATATTTCGTCTCTCAAGCCTTTGTATCCAGTTTTTTGATCGGTGAAGCCCTCCATTTGATCGGTGAAGCGGTGAAGCTCAATCTAATTGCAACTCTCTGTGTAACAGCTGCCGCACCATCTCTGATTTTGTTGAATCTTGTTCTGGAAATTTCAGTCACCGCCTTTCAATACCAACACCGTCTTTTTGTTGCCCTACGCCGTGTAAAGCTTGAACATAAGACACATGGGCTGAAGGCAAGGCATAGCGGTGATCAACTGATCACCTTGCTTGATAAATTGCGTTCTCTCTTTACAAAGACCCTAAAATTTCGATGATCAAAACCTGGTATCACACTTCACAGAGCTCCATGGAATTCTACGCCCTAGAAACCATCACAAAAAAAAAACGTGGATAGAGATGGGGAATTCTACGCACTAGAAACATCACCAAAAAAAAAAGGTGGATAGAGATGGGAAACCCAAGAGAGAGATGGGGTCGAAAGTAGAGGGAGAAGTCTCTGGAGCCATTCTTTTTGCTTTTCCCCATCAATTTATCTCCGCCCTGAACCCATCAAATTCTCTTCACCATCATATCTGCACCAACAGGTGAGCCCTAAGATCTGTTTTCAGGTAAACGCCTTGGGATTTCGAGTTCGAATGAGCAACGCCCTCGTTTTTTTTTTCCCAAAAAACTCGCCCGAATATATCGTTGCATTGGAGCTCCGCCACCTGGTCTCTCGAGAAATTGCCATCTCCGCTTATCCAAAGCCACCATCAATCGCAGCCATCTAGTTGGAGCCTACATCTACCGTCCAATCGCGCACGGAGAAGGTCCAGTCCAATTCGGCAGGAAACGAAGCTCCATCTCTAGAGAAGAAGAGAGAGAGAGTGTATGAAACCAGAAAAAGGAGAAATTAGAAAACCAGAAGAGAGAGAAAGTAAAACGGCGAACGAGATCCTTGTTTCTTGGAGAAATAAAAAGGGTAGAAAGACGTGGTTCATAGGGACCATATTATATCAAAATAGACGTGTCCGTGAGGACTGTGCTTGAAAAAAGAATGAGCAGTCTTTGGTGGTGGTGGAGCCATCACCGGTATAGTTTAAGCCTTGAGCATCTTCTTTGAGGCCGCTCCTCAACAGATCCTTCTTCCACCGATTGATTCCAAAAAAATAAAAATAAAAAAAATAAAAAATAAAAAAAATTTGGATGGTATTTTTTAAGATGCGGGCTATTGTCTAGAAGCCTAATTTCATTTGCATTTTTTTTTATATGATTGTACTCAAAAGAAAAAAAAAAAAATTGTATTTTGCAAGTTGGGTGTTTATTCGCATCTACGCCCAACTTGAAGGGGAGAGTATAGGAGATGAGGAGATGAAGATGATTGATGGTTGATGATCAAGAGTTCCCTCTCCAGATGAGGAGATGAAGATGATCGAATTTCTTGATCCTTGATCAAGAGTTTCATCTCCATATAAAGTTTCCTCTCTAAATGAGGAGATGAAGATGATTGAATTTCTTGATCCTGGTTGATGATCAAGAGTTTCATCTCCAAATAGAGTTTCCTCTCCAAATGAGGAGATGAAGATAATCGAATTTCTCGATCCTGGTTAATGATCAAGTTTTTCGTTACTTGATCTCGTTTGATGATGAAGTTTTTCGTTACTCCATCCTGTGTGATGATCGAATTTACTCGATCCTATTTGTTCAAGATGCCTATATTTCAATGATAGAGTTTTTTGTTATTCAATCCTATTGGATGATGGAGTTTTCTGTTAGTCCATCCTGTGTAATGATCCTTTTCTTTTAGAGAGAGAGCTTCTTGAAAGAAAAGAAGCCTCTGAGAGATAAAATCTTCAAAGAAGAAAACCCTCTAGAGAAAGTATCTAGAAGAAAGTAGATAGCCCAAGAAAAGTTGTTTATTGGAAGACCTTAGTATGAGAGTCTCTAGAAGAAAGTAGAGAGCCCAAGAAAAGTTGTTTCTTGGAAGACCCTAGTGTGAGAGTCTCTAGAAGAAAGTAGAGAGCCCAAGAAAAGTTGTTTCTTGGAAGACCCTAGTGTGAGAGTCTCTAGAAGAAAGTAGAGAGCTCAATAAAGGTTGTATTTGGAAGACCATGGTAACCACTGAAATTTATCAGTGATTTAATCACTACTCGTTTTTTTTGACAACTTAGTATTGTTCAAACTCCCGTATTGTTCAAACTCCAGCTGCTTTGTGTCAAAGCATCTTGAATTTGAAGGGGAGTGTTAGGCTATGAATATCTCTTTTCATAAAAATATACATCATTATACCAAGTTATTTGGTTATCAAGTTATCATACCATAATTATCTTCTCTAATTGTGTGATTGTCCTCTATATATAGATGTACTTATTGATGTAAGCATTCATCCAAAATAGTGAAGCTGTAGCCGGTTGGGGCTTTGGATCCGTAGACACAAAGCTTCGACCTGAACCACGTAAATGTTGTGTTCTCTCTTATTCTCTCTCCGTTCTCTATTCTATGCTACTAGAATTCTAATATTGATAGTCTCCGACTTGTTAACTAATTGCTTACCAACAAATCCTTCCATTACTGATACCCCGATGCACATTTTACCATCACCACTTAGTAATTGGAGCTAAATTCACATACTTGAGTTTTTTGATGTCCATGTCGAGCTAAATTCATGTACTTGAGTTTTCTCATACTCATTTCTCCTTCCTTTGTTGTAGAGACATTCTACCATGCCAGTAAGTGATATTTCATTTTCTCTTCATTCCCTTCGCATAAAATGATCTTTGTCAAACCCGTCAATGTCTTCACACTATCATTTGGCATTTGATAAAGAGACATGGATTGCAGATTCGAAAGCGTGTACTTAGCTTTCTATAAGTCCAATTTAACTTGAAATCTTTGAATGATAGGATCGCAAATAGACTGAAGATATTCTACCTTCTGTTGATGGCATTCCTCGATACTTTACAAGGGAACTATCAATGTCACATCCCAAAATTGAAGGTGATATAGAGTCTAGCTCTTCTACAATAGTTAACTTAAATGACAAAGTAAAACTTGTACATACAAGTACCCACTACTTTTGCTCAGCGTTACAGTCACAAAAATGAACTTACAAAAACTCTAACATCATTGAAAATAAAAGATTCGCAACACAATAGAGTCCTCAAGTCATAAAATAAAACACATTGCACATGGAGAAACAAACAAACTTCTTTACGTACTCACATGTACATGGACTACACATATTTTTCTCATTAATATAAACAAGCTTCAAGCATTACACAATCAATTCTTCACGACACAAAACGTTTATGAACTCATGATTACATCAACTAAAGTGCAAAGTGTGAAAGGGAAAATTAATGATCGAACCTTTTGTACCCACATGATATAAATAGACCTTTTAGAGACTCAACTTTGCCCCATGGAAGATAGCACATATGACTTTGATACATAAAGGCTGATATCACTTATACAATGAGAAGCTTATGCACACTTAATTACCATTTGATGAACTTTAAAATGAGAGAGAGAGAGAGATGAACCTTAATGGTGAAAATAGTGAGCATAAATCAGGTATAGACAAATCATGCTAGATGGGAATCTATGGCTTTACACTAGTGAATACAAGTATAGTTTCACAAGGAAAATTCTCTAGGATCAGAGTTCCAAAATATGTTACTCAAATGGTACTCGATACGTGTTGATATGCATGAAGTAAGTCAGAGAGTTCTAAAAAAAAATCAGATGGATAAAATGGTAGAGAAATGGTGTCTAGATACAAGATTGTACACTAATGCATATACGATGGTATGGATGGATAGTTCTACAAGGAACCCAAAGATTATGAACACTCAAGCATAAAAGGATGGAAATAATCCTGTAATCAGAGATCTAAAGCAAGGGAAAGATGGGGAAAATACTCTAGTAATGAAGGAATAGCGCCTATGAGATTACCTTATGTATGAAGGACCAAATGGGCTACACACCGGAGAAAGGTCGTAAGGCCATAAGCGATATTTGCTCATAAGAAGTAGATGGAATGATAAGGAGAGTGGAGCATGGAGCTCTCTCTATCCGTTTTTTCTCTTTCTATCTCTAAGTGGATGTATTTTTGTGTGTAGAGAAATGAAGCCCCCCAAGGGGCAATGTGACATTGTTAAGTGATATAGTCTTGGCTCTTGATGTTCATCATCTATGATATATGAGAGAATCACGATCATAGTTATGATCATAGTTATGCAACTATATCTAGCCATCAAGATGAAAGGGTGATATTTCACACCATTATTATTTCATAAAACCTTACATTAGACTAATTTACCATATTGTCCTCAGGTTTTAAATAAAGTTCTTATATGCCAACTTAGTTTACCTAAATTGCCCGGCGTGCCCCTTTGGTAATTGAAAAAAAAAAACTTAACCAATCAAATGTTGCCATTCAAAAATATCATATGGGTTTTAGCAAATAGAATGATGCCACTTAAAAAGGTAAGCTATAATAAGATATCCATCAAAGACTTAGGGTCCAAGCCAAATTATCAAGGCTTGCTCTTAACCTTAGACACATTTGGCCATGTGACAAAATTGTTCACTTAAATAAAAAAACATAATTTTATTTCAAACTATACAAAAACGCTTTCTAAAACAAACCAACAAATTCTACATAGGCCCTTCCACATCATGCTGATGTCATCAGCCTGGGTTGATGTTATCCGTCTGGGACTGATGGGGAGCAGCCATGTGCCTATTTATGGCAACGTGGATGGCATATGTGGGCCATAACTAGTTGTTCTTGTGTGGAATTAGTCCCAAATAATTTTGAAAATCACATCTTT